CCATCAATGCCACCTCTCAGTGCCCACCAGTGCACATCAATTCCACATATCAGTGCCTATCTGTGCTGCCTTTCAGTGCCAACTATCAGTGTCCGTCAGTGCCACCCATCAGTGCCCGTCAGTGCCACCCATCAGTGCTACCCATCAGTGCGATATGAGTACTTCCTTTCAGTGCCCATCAGTGATGTCTGTGAATGCCCACCAGTGATGCCTGTCAATGCCCACCAGTGATGCCTGTCAATGCCCACCAGTGATGCCTGTCAATGCCCACCAGTGATGCCTGTCAATGCCCACCAGTGATGCCTGTCAATGCCCACCAGTGATGCCTGTCAATGCCCACCAGTGATGCCTGTCAATGCCCATCAGTGCCACCTACCAGTGCTTCCTCATCAGTGCCACCTATCAGTGCCCATTAGTGCAGCCTCATTAGCGCACATCAGTGAAGGAGAAAAATTACTCATTTACAAAATTTTATAACAGAAAATAAGAAAAAAACATTTCTTTTCAAACTTTTCAGTTGTTTTTGGTTTATCAAAAAATATAAAAACCCAGAGGTGATTAAATGCCACCAAAAGAAAGCTGTGTCTTAAAAAAATTATAAAAAGTTCATATGGGTACAGTGTTGCATGACTGTGCAATTGTCATTCAAAGTGCAACAGTGCTGAAAATTGGCCTGGGCAGGAAGGGGGTGAAAGTGCCCGGTAGACAAGTGGTTAAAGGGTGCCGTGACTGAAAAAGGGTTGAGAAACTTTGGCCTAGACTACAGTTTTGAAACTATAAAAAAAAAAAAAAAAAAGTGTAGCAGCTATAGCCAAAACACCATATTTCCCAGCCATTAGATGCAGACTTTCCCCCACCTCCAGCAGTTCTTGCACATCTGTATGGTAAACATAATAATGGAGTTGTCAGAGTGCCTCTCCATGGAACAATCCTTCAGTAATGTGAGCGACATCATTCCATGTGCACAGGTTGTTTCCTGCAGCTGTGTTTACAGAGGGGCACAATCTGAGATGATCTCTCTGCCTCTACAAGTATGAGGCCGCCACCAGCTGCACACAACTGTCTGAGGCCGCAGAGCTACAGGAATGCCAGTGCCGGCCTGACAAGTCTTTGATATTCAACCATGACAGAAAATACTTTTAAAGATTTTTTTTTTCTTTAGCCTGTGTGAAATAATGAATCTACAAAAGCACTCTATTGTACAGAGCAGGAGATTTAAAAATCACATTCACACCATATCTGCTGATATGTATTGATCTGCATGGATCAACGCAGGCCCAACACAAGGGTAAAACATTTTTTTTCTATGTGCCCTGTTCACCCCATACATGCGTGATGGTGTGCACGGCATACAGATGTAACATGTAAGGAGTTTTACACGGTGCAACTCACCGCACCATGTCACTGCACTGCAGCACGTTGCAATACGTGTGACACTTTAAGGGTTCATGTACACTGCAGCTGATAAACTGACATTCAGGAGCTTTTCTGCGTTTTTTTCAGCAGCCCCTGAACTCTCCCTAATGTTCTCTTATGTGTCCATGTACACTATATCATTTACAGGCAGTTGAGTTTACAGTTGTTTTTTTGAACGCACCAAACTTGCATTCAGGAGTAGATTTTATCAGCGTTTCAAATGCCAAACGCTTGTAAACGCGGCTAACCGCATATATAAGCATTTGCGTTTAGAAGCGTTTTTTAACTGTTCCATATCCAGATGCTATCCAGAGTCTTTTTTGCAAAGTGTTTTCCATGTATTCAAATGGACCCGGTACACCAGCGCAGTCAGTTCCAGGTTTCGCGTGAAGGAAAAAATGGTAGAACGCGCCGCATTATGCTCATGATGGGATCCATAGTGAATACAACCAGAAAAGACAGGTCATCTCAACACATACTGTCTCTAGTTCTCTCAAAATGTCTGAAATAGTTAATTTTTTACTGTTTTTCAGTGCATTCTGGAAGGTCTCCTGATGTTAAAAAACACTTCTAAACGCAAACGTGCATAAACGCGGTATGCAAATGCAGCTAAACAGACTTTTTTTAACCTACTTTTTCCAGTAGTCAGTTTCCATCGTTCAGAAGTGTTTTCCAAACGTCCCGTGTACATGGAGCCTAAGAGAAAAAAGTAAAGCGCGTGATGCCTTGTAATAGCACAGAGCACCACCACTACCAAACGAATACGGCACACACACATTTGTGCATGCATGCTGTGAACAAGCACTTAAAGTGGAACTATAGGCAAAACTTTTTTTTGAAATTTTGGATATTGTAAGAGAGGGTTACAACCCGTCAGTTTTTTTTTGTGTCATCTGTGCCCCCTTGAGATGATTTCCCTTCACATCCTGTCCCATAGCCAAAACAGGAAGTGGAAGGAAATCCAAAATTAGGGCTTTTTGTCACCAAATTGAGCCTGGGTTCACATACATGCGGTGCAGTATATCGCATGTGATTCACACAGAAACCGCACTGCATTCCTGTGCAAATCACAAAAAGGTGCAAGACCCTTTTTTGGGTCCGCACTAGAATCAGATCGTATAGGTATTCTCACCTATGTGATCCAATTCTGCACATCGCACCGTGTTTTGTGAACTGCTTTCGGGGGGGTTGTTAACTTAACATACACACCCGCAGTGGTTCACATGAACGGGGTGCGATTCTGATACGGTACGTAATTCGCAACATTTTCAGTGCAAATTCCGCACTGTATGAACAGTGTGAACCATGCCTTAGTGCCCCATTGGAAGTGCGGAATTCGCACTGAAAACACTTTTGGAAGTGCAGAATTTGCACTGAAAACGCTGCAAATTCCGCATCAGTGTAAACCAGGCCTTAGTGTCCCCATTCGACGATTTCTTTGCAGGACAGGAGATCCGATTTTTCTCTGCTGCAGTTAAGTAACATGTACAGATCTGGTTCCTTCCCCCAGTCTGTGACTAGACAGTGAACAGAAAAGCAGCACACTGATGAGCTCATCTCTCTGTGACTCTGCTCTTTCCTCGTACCAACATGTTCTCTGATAGCACTAGTTGCAGTTTAAATGGTGTATTAATACTGAGATGCATAATTTTGTGTATTTTATATCTGCCTGGAGTTCGGCTTTAGGGTTGGTTCACAGTGCGTTGTTGTGCGATTCACATGCCGTTCTGTGCTGTGTGATTTCAGCCCATTCAAAAATAGTGCATGCACCCTATGGGAACTTTCTGCAGTTGGATCACATGGTGCTTTTCTACTATACAATCCGGTGCGGGCAAACATACTACATTTGTGACCTGCATCTGGGGTGTTGTTAACTTATTACTGACACCCGCTGCAGATCACAACGTTTTGAATGTGGTGCGGGAAACGTGCACATAACGTGGGATTTCCCACACCGCGTTCTGGTAAGAATGGAAACCTATCATTAGGAAAATATAGAGATGGACGTTTCTGAGCTCGCCTCTGAAAATGCGAGTTGCCTGGCTGTCCTGATGACCCTTCTGCTTAAAAGAGTTGCTTCTAAGTATGGATCAGGAGTTCTGACTTCACAATAATTTCACTAGTTGTGTGCTTGTTGTGGTCAATCAACGCCATCAGTTCTTAACAGACTACGCCCCACACATTTTTAGTCCTCTCCTCAAGATCGGCGCGCTCCTCTGATCAGGAGATGATCTGAGATGCCAGTGAAGAATGACTGGTGTTTACATAGTGCTAGGTGGCAGGGAGTGAGTGATGTCCCAGAATCTGCATTCTGGGAGCCTCACAGGGCAGCACATGACAAGCTGCCGCAATGGCTGAGGTAAAGGTCATCGCAGGACTATTTAAAGGTACGTGCCTTGCTCTGCACTGCGCACGCCATCTTAAGAAACAGCCGCGTTCACAGAACCTGAGAGCGTGTCGCACACCGTCTGCCACTTAGAGGTAAAGTATACTGCAGTATAAACGCACACCTTTTCGAGTCCATACCGCAGGAAAGTGCCCTGGGTGAGCGGGCCGAGAAAAAACTGAAACGTCGCTATGACCAATCAGATCAATGTTCACAGATCACAGATGTCGTTTTCCTGGACAGTCTCCAAGGGAAGGCATTTTCAATTGGATTTCCTTTTTAACTAGAGATTAGCTTGATGTCAAATATATTCAGTGTGGAATAAAATGTAATACGTTGCAGCTCAGCAGTTCTTAAATATGGCGGCTGCGTTAGTTTTCTTTTTTCAGGCTTACATTTCACGTAGGAGTGTTACCTGGTGATTCCTTCAGTCTCACACTTCCTGTGCTAGGGTGACAACACTGACTATACTGCATCTACGAAGAAGCAGCACTGTTACTAGTGGTGCACTGAAATTAAAATTCAGAATGTACTTGGCCGAAAACTGAAAGACAGTTTTAAAAAATGTATATATTTTTCAAACCATTTTTTTTTAGAAAAAATACACTTTAATGATTAAAAAAAAAATAAAACAATAAATAGTTACCCAACATGTCATGCTTTAAAATTGCGCACACTCATACAATGGCGCAAAACTACGATACTTAAAATTCTCCATAGGTAACACTTTAAAAATGTCTACAGGTTACCAGTTTAAAGTTACAGTTCTAGTGCTGGAATTATTGCTCTTGCACTGATGTTTGCGGCCATAACTCACACGTGTTGTTTGAACACCGTTTACATCTGTGGGCGTGGCCTACGTATACGTTCACCACTACGTGCAAGCATGAGGGCACGTTACACATTTTTTAAATTTATTTTATACTTTTTTTTTATTTCACACTTTCCCTTTCCACTGTGAAGCATGATGGTGGTTCGCTGATGTTTTGGGGGTATGTGAGCTCTAAAAGGCACAGGGAATCTTGTGAAAATTGATGGCGAGATGAATGCAGCATGTTAACAGAAAATACTGGCAGACAATTTGCATTCTTCTGCATGAAAGCTGTAATGGGACGCTCTTGGACTTTCCAGTAAAGGTTCTGAAGTGCCCATCACAGTCTCTCTTGACTGTAATATTATCGATCCACTCTGGGGAGATCTCAAACGTGCAAGACGAGCAAAGACTTTGCTTGACCTGGAGCAGGGGCGGACTGACAACTCATGGGGCCCCCGGGCAATAAGGGATCATGGGGTCCCTGTGCCCTCGCCCACACCCAAAAAAGCCTATGAAAAAGCCAATAAAAGGTACCAGAGGCATCTCATGGGGCCCCCTACTGACCCCGGGTTCTCAGGCAGTGTCCAAGTGCTCGAATGGTCAGTCCGCCCCTGACCTGGAGGTATTTTGCTAAGACGAATGGGCTGCTCTACCACCTGCAAGAATTCGGGGCCTCATATTATTATTATAATACAGGATTTATATAGTGCCAACAGTTTGCTCAGCGCTTTATAATATAACGGGAGACAATAGAGCAACAATACAGTTCAATACAAGAGGGTTAGGAGGGCCCTGCTCTTTGGAGCTTACAATCTAAGAGGGAGGGACTAGTGGTACAAAAGTCAGTAACTGTAGGGGATGAACTGGTAGGATGAGTAGAAGTTTCCATTATTAGCTGAGGGGAGGATAGGCTTCCCTGAAAAGATAGGTTTTCAGAGATCACCTAAAAGTGAGCAGAGTAGGCGATAGTCTGATAAATTGGGGTAGTGAGTTCCAGAGGATGGGGGAAGCTCTGGAGAAGTCCTGGAGATTAGCATGGGAGGAGACGAGGGAGCTATTACAAAAGACTTCATGCTGTCATTGATGCTAAAGGGGGCAATACACAGTATTAAGACGTAAAATGTATGCAGACTACGTAAATGCTACTGTGGACACAATGCTAGCATAGGGGAAAAGACACAATGGGGAGAGCTACAAGGTTCAGGTCTGGCTACTGACCCAACAATACAACAAACAAGAGATACCTGTGCTCAAATCCCAAAAGCTAGTGCATGCATTTATCCATCCAAGACTTCAAGCAGAGTACAGTGATGAGACACTCAGCCACAGTAAGACATTTGTATGGTGTAAATGTTTCAAAGATGGCCTACGTCCATCAGTGACGATCCCAGCCTAAAGAAGTCATTATATGAACATTCTATGCGTTAAATGCCTGATCCTGGATAATCGATGCACTCACAAATGTCCATGATGGTTCAGGAGCACTGACAAATCTTTCTAGTCCAAAGCTTTCCAGGCATTAGTTAAATGCTGGAATAAGTGTATAAATGTAGCAGGAGAGTATATAAAAAAATAAATGCAGTTTCCACTCCTTGAAATTAGTTATTTTATTATGTAAACTTAAAAGTCCCGGTTTGACTTGAACACCCCTCGTATATGTGAATATTTTTTTCATTGCTGCTTCACATCAAACAATGCACAGGTTTCCTTCCCAGGTCATTTGCAGGAATACATCACCAACTGCTGTAGTTCTTCAATCTCGATTATCCACCAGTAAGAGGAAATTAAATTGTTCCTGTGAAGGCGTGGGAGACTCATAACCAGACCCCTGTGAGAGCCATGCTCCATTTGGAAGGCAGACAAATGGAACAAGTGATTTATTGTGATTGAATACTGGCCATGACCAGGCTTGTTTGCATGGCGGCTTTGATCACCGGGATCCAAAAACCCTTCAAAGAGCTGCTATACTCAAAACATAAGTTACATAATCTCTGCTGGTCAGGTTTTTCAAAGACTCCAAGTTATTAAAATTGATTTGAGTGGGAATTTTATCTAGTACCCAAGTCAGAATTGCATGCTTTTGGTGGACATATAAAGAAATGAAGAAACTTCAACCACTCTGAACCAACAACATATAATATATTTATATCTCTCTTCATTCATCCATCCATCCATCAAACTGTCTGTATTTTCATCCATCCATCCTTCCACTCATCCATCCATCCACCATCCTTCCCTATGTCTATCCCTCTGCCCATCTCTCTGTCTACCTGTCTGTCCATCTGCTCATCAATCTATTTCTATTCATCCATCCACAAAACTGTATTTTGATCTGTCCGTCTGTCCACTCATCCATCCACCATCCTTCCCTCTGTCTGTCCATCTATCCATCCATCATCCTTCCCTATGTCCAGTCCTCTGCCTCTCTGTCTACCTGTCCGTCCATCTGTTCATCAATCTATTTCCTATTCATCCATCCACCATCCTTCCCTTTGTCTGTCCACCTATCCATCATCCTTCCCTATGTCCAGTCCTCTACCTATCTCTCTGTCTACCTGTCCGTCCATCTGTTCATCAATCTATTTCCTATTCATCCATCCACCATCCTTCCCTCTGTCTGTCCATCTATCCATCCATCATCCTTCCCTATGTCCAGTCCTCTGCCTATCTCTCCGTCTACCTGTCCGTCCATCTGTTCATCAATCTATTTCCTATTCATCCATCCACCAAGCTGTATTTTCATCTGTCCACTCATCCATCCACCATCCTTCCCTCTGTCTGTCTGTCCATCTATCCATCTCTCTGTCCACCTGTTTGTCCATCCATTCTTCTCTCTATCTATCAATCCATCCCCTGTTCATCCATCCATTTTGTCTCTTGGCATATCTTTGTAGCGAAAAGAGCTAATTGGCAGGTTGGATCTTTCTAGCGGATCACCATTTTTATGCTCCAAGTCAGTACCAGGGTTGTGCTCCCTCCCGCTATGTATCCTCCAAAAACGTGATCATTTTCTGTATGCAGGTATGGAGCATGGTCATGAGCACCCCACTACGAGTGATTTAAATAGAAGGCAGGCACAGCTGATTATCACCACTGGTTACTTGCAATGGTAGCATGCATTTGAAGTGTGATTTCCACATATATCATTCTGTGACATGTTGCTTTACATGTGGGAGCATGGCTGTACTATGTTGGTAGCTGTACATCTGCCATCAGTAACTGACACAGGAAGATATACGCATGATGTTTCCATTAGCTGCAAAGGGTCTACAGTGTTACCGAGATTAGTATAAACACATGTAGCATGTTAAGCAGAAAGAAAGCACATTTGCTACTTTCTGTAAGAAAAAAAAAAAGTTGAAACCAATGACCCCTTCCAGGTGGTACACACATGCTTCAGGAATTAGGAGGAATCGCTTGCTGCGGCTGGTTGGATGTATGTGCTGTTCAACCAACAGTTTTTCAGCTAACTCCTTCGATTTTTTTAATCAAAGGAGGTTGGGTGGAGTAGTACTGACAGGGCCATCCACTAATTGAGTTTTGGCTGGTTCATTGGGAACTGACCAGATTTAAAAAGTCCTTAGATGTGGTGAATGCATTAGTTTTTATTTTTCTCCAGGCTCTTTTCTCCTTTTAAATTGGTTCTAAAGGCACAAGGCTTTTTTTACCTTATAGGATAAGTTCACCATCCCCCTGCTAGCTGTCACAGCGGGAATGGGGGGGGGGGGGATTGTGCGGGGGCCGGTCTGTTCGTAACATGTGTCATGTTACATCCTGAATATGGGTGGAACATGTTATGAAAATAACATGTTCCACCCATATTCAGGATGTAACATGACACATGTTACGAACAGACCGGCCCCCGCACAATCCCCCCCCCATTCCCGCTGTGACAGCTAGCAGGGGGATGTTTTCCCCCTGCTAGCTGTCACAAATTTAAAAAAACTCATTTTAAATCCGCCAAAAAAATTTAAAAAAACTCATTCTGTGAATGAGAACATTGCAAGTTCTGACATCCTTTGCAGCTGTCAGCTTGTAGTTGTCAATGAATTACCACAGCACTGTGGAGCTCCACGGTAGTTCATTGAGCCTTCTTATCAGTAAGTATCTGCTCACCTGTATGGGATGTACAAGCAAGCAAATACAGTGACAGGTCAGAGGAAGACTTCCATGGCACCAGCAATCTGCTGATCACTGGTGCAATGCTTTAGGAGCTCCAGAAACAAAAGTTAACAACTTCAAATTGTGTTACCTGCAAAAAAAAAATGTGCATTTATTATTTTTTGTTAAAAGACGAACTTATCCTTTAAAGTGTTATTTAAAAAAAAAAACCTGAACCTTTACTAACAAATATGTTTATACTTACCTGCTCTGTGCAGTGGTTATGCACAGAGCAGCCTGGATCCTGCTCTTCTTGGGTCCCCTGCTGGTGCTCCTGGCCCCCCATAACAAACCACTGCTCTGCTCGTGTGTAGCAGCGTTGCTCTCTCTCTCTTTTCTCGCAGGACAAACAGGCAGCAGCAAGAGCTACTGGCTCCTGCTGCTGTCAATCAAATCATGTGAGGAGGAAACCGGGGACGTGGCCAAGCCATGCTGTGTGTCTATGTATGCACACAGTCCAGCTTGAGTGCCTGCATAGCACACAGCTTGCTATGGGGGCATGCAGAGAAAGAGAGGAGTGGACAGTGCCAGCGGAGGACCCCAGAAGAGGAGGTAAGGGAGCATTCTGCTCACTACTATTGCATGGAGCAGGTAAGTATAAAATGTTTAATATTTTAAGCAACAAAATATGCCTTTACGACCACTTTAGGTGTATTTAAAGCCAAACTATTTTATTTTTAGAAAATCAATGATTAAAGCTGAACTCTAGGTAGTTATAAAATACACAAATTAATGCAGCTTTGTAATCATTAAAGGAGAAGTACAGCCAAAGCTCATTTGGCTGTACTTCTCCTGCAGTCTATCTTCAGCTGTCAGCAGGCTAAAGCCCGCTTTTGGCTGTTGTCACAGAGCCCAGACCGGCACCTGGCTTAGCCTCTCACCAAGCCGTTGAAAGCCTAAGCCAGCCGCTCCCGCCCCCTCCACAGCCCAGCACTCCAGTGAATACTGGAGCACAGATCAGAGACTGACAGTACCGGCTCTCTGCTTGGAGCGGCAGGGAGAACTGAGCAATCAGCGGTGTTTGATCGCTCATTTCTCAGCCTTAGAGCCGGCGGGGGACAGATGCAGCATCGGATTGATACTGTAATCACCTAGGTAAGTATGATTTAAGATTTAAAAAAAAAAAAAATCCAATACTTCTCTTTTGATACATTACTAAATGTATATTAAGTGGTATAAAGCTGGTTATACACAGTTTCTCTTTCATTCAGTCAGTGGGCTGAATGAAAAAACCTAACAAATTCCTCTGTCCACACAAGCGAGGCATATAGAAGAACCTCCCCGTCAGGGCATCATATTTTGACCAACCACTATCCGAATACACCAATCAGTGGCTGCAGCTTTCCAGCATGTCCAATTGAAAGAAATCGATCAAATGTTTAACTTCTGCTAAGTGTGGACGGCTGCACACTAATCTGAATTCAGACAGTCCCTAAAGAAAAGAAGCATTTTTTTTTTTAAATGTTAAAATTAACAGGATTATTCTTGCTGCTCATATGTACAGTTTCTCAAGGTATGCTGCACCGCAGACCTAAGTCCATCCTAAACAAAGAAATTATTTACAAATTGACTGCTCAGTATCTCCTTTCACAACCAAACAGGGACACGTCTGCAGAAGGATCCATAAAACAAGCCTTTTATAGCGGATATTTCAGAAAAGCAGCTATGCAATTCAGGATCAGTGATAGACAAGGCATACCAGTGTCCTGCATGAATAACTGTCCTGCCTAGCAGATACATTCATCCGGAGGAAACTTCTTGGTCCCGCTGCTTCTTGAAAATACCCCGTCAACAACTTTTAAAAAAATTGACATGTAAAAGCACAGAAAAACAAGTTTTTAAGCTATTTATCTGTGGCATATTTCCTACCTAGAAACTATTTTTAATGAATTTGCACATACAGTAAAATGTGACTACTCCAGGAAGTCAATTCCTTAGCACAGCCTCCTCCTTTGCATGTCGTAGCCCATTCCTCTTCTGGGAGTGTCTAATTACTCTCCGTGCTGGCCCAGCTTCTTCTCTCCTCCCCTCCATACATAACAGTTTACCTCACTGCCAGGGGAGGGGCAAAAAAGGAATACTATAGTGTGCCACTCAGTTCTTTTGTAGGGAAGGAGGGGGGGGTAGAGGAACACTCTATCTGTATGCGTAGAGGCAGACGCATAGTGCAGAGACTTGCCACAGGCTGGCTATTGTCCCTATATATTATTATACAGGATTTATATAGCGCCAACAGTTTGCTCAGCACTTTACAATATAACGGGAGACAATACAGCAACAATACAGTTCAATACAAGAGGGTTAGGAGGGCCCTGCTCCTTGGAGCTTACAATCTAGGAGGGAGGGGCTAGTGGTACAAAAGGTAGTAACTGTGGGGGTGGACTGGAAGGATGAGTAGAAGATTCCATGATTAGCTGAGTGCAGGATAGGCTTCCCTGAAGAGATAGGTTTTCAGAGATCACCTAAAAGTGAGCAGAGTAGGCGATAGTCTGATAAATTGGGTTAGAGAGTTCCCAAGGATGGGGGAAGCTCTAGAGAAGTCCTGGAGACGAGCATGGGAGGAGGAGACAAGGGAGCTAGAGAGCAGGAGGTCATGTGAGGAGCGGAGAGGACGGTTTGGGTGATATTTGGAGACAAGATCGGTGATGTAATTTGGGGCAGAGTTATAAATGGCTTTATACGTTATTGTTAATGTTTTGAATTTTTATCTTTTGGGCAATGGGAAGCCAGTGGAGGGATTGGCAGAGAGGGGTGGCAGATACAGAACGGTTAGTGAGGTGGATGAGTCTGGCAGCAGCATTCATGATAGACTGAAGAGGGGATAGCCTGCGATGAGGTAGGCCAATGAGGAGGGAGTTACAATAGTCAAGGCAATACATAACAAGGGAGTGAATAAGTTGCCTAGTGGTTTCCGAGGTTAGGAACGGGCATATCTTGGAGATGTTGCAGAGGTGAAGTCTACAAGATTTGGACAGTGATTGGATTTGGGGCTGAAAGGACTAGGATTACACCTAGTACCCTGGCATGAGGGGTGGGACTGATGATTGTGTTATTGATCTTGATGGAGAAGTCAGGGGAGGGGGCACAGGCTGGGGGGAATACTAAGAGCTCAGTTTTGGAAAGATTTAGTTTGAGGAAGTGGAGTGACATCCATGCCGATATAAAAAGATACAAATTTTTACCAAGTATAATAAACAATCTCTTTTTCACATTGATTCTCTTTAACGATGTTATTGAGGAAGCTTATTCCCAGTTTGCAAGTAGCTGTTACTGGAGAATCCAGGTATGAATGGAATGGAATGTATCACACAACTCCATTGTCTGACCAGATTAACCAAGCTCCAGACCCTCAGTAAAACATTCATCAATGCAGCCAACGAGATCACCGTGTGCGTTCCAAAGTAGATTTACTGGTTTGTAGCACATTACTCTACAGCCTAGTTGCCAACTAAACGTCATTAATTAACTAAATTTTTTTAAAACTATCTAAAGCTAAGAATAAAAACTGGTGTAGCTTCCCAGTCCTTAGATGTGGTGGCTGCATTAGTTTTCTTTTTTGTCAACCTAATAACATTTTCAGCAAGCACAGAAAATACATGTTAATCTTGGCAGAAACATAGATCATGTGACTTGAACTGAAAGCAAAAACATTCCTATCTGCCTTCCAAGCTATCTTATGTAACCTACCAATTCCCTTTTCCTCCCTTTCTGTGTAAAGCCAGCCATAGATGATGTGATTTTCTATCCTGCAATCATGGGTTGTAAGAAAGAAAATTTCTCGATTCTTAGATCAACATAGTCAGTGTTGATGGGGGAATCCCTCCCGTGCAGCTATTGTGTCCTTCCGATGGGGGGGGGGGGGGGGGCACGGCGGCTATAGCTGCGGGCAATAGTCGCATGCAAAATCCAAGAGGCTGGTTGTACCCAAGTCATGCAAAAATAAAATTGGGTACAATCAGCCTGCCCATAGTTCCAATCTCAGTCTCTCCCTGCTGAACCAGCCAGGATTCGAAACCATCTAAGGCCAGCAAAGGGGTGGTCATATGTGGTCCAATTTTGGCTCCATTCCATGGCCCAGTATGATGATTGTGCTATCTATGCACAGCTCAAAGTTTGATCAATTTCTGTCAATCAGGCTAATTGCCTTGTTGCAACCACTTGGCTCAACAAAGTTTGAGTGCAAAATCGAAGTAGCTGGGTGGAAATTGCCTGTCAAACAGATCCAGCATCCAGTCAGCTGCAGACACAGTTCGGGCTTTCAGACAGCTGTCAGAAGATTCCTCCTTCCATGTGGGCTGAATTAGAGGAGTCTAGCTGTGTATGACTAGCTTTGAGAAAGGTTTGCACCAAATTTTTAAAAAGAAGTTCGGGAACTGTCAGTCGCCAGCTCTCTGCTCTGCCCCTCCAGTGCTCACCGAGGCTCCAGGCTGTGAAGGACGTGAGCAGCAGGCTTAGACTCTCAGCAGCACACTAAGAGGTTGAGCCAGCTGCCAATCAAGAATCTGGGGGGATCCGGACTTTAAAGCCAAGATCTCTCCAGAGCCTGGACTAGCTCAGTGGCCCACTGTCAGCTGAACACAGGCCACAGGAGTGCAGAATTAAGTGCACTCCTGTGACCTACAGAAGAAGAGCCAAAAGAGCTTTGGCCCTACTTCTAATTGAATGATTTATCCTTCACAGGATGACTCAGCCTGCGGTTTCAATCTGACAAAGCAAGCTACAAGGCAAGCAGCCACTGAGTTGATCCTTTTTGGCAAACACATGACACTTAAGGGTTCCCTGCAGATCCAAACAGCTTGAGCCAAGGAGAACAGTTGTCACAAATCAATTGTGAGATCATTGATTGTACAATACCATCCACGTAAATGTGCAAAGGGCCATACTAGAAGGCAAGCAATAGCATTGCTAATGCTGAGGGCAACAGTTTTTCATCTGAATTTTGAGGTCTATAGTGGTCAAAGCTTTGAATTCTGCTGCCTACCGGATTGGCCAACCCTCTGGGAACAGTGTCCTATAGTTCCACACGTAAAAGGACTTACTATTCATGATAAGCCATGTAAATGGACAATGTATCACAAGATGGGTAGAGACAGGCCTGCCTGTAGTTAAAGTCAGCATTTCCTGGATCTATGAAGATTTTATAGCAAGCCCAGCCAGCGTACTGATTTGGCAAGGTTGGTGTCATATTATTAGGAGTAAAAAAGGAACAGCTGCTCAGAAACTGAGAGTAAAAGGCAAAACCAAAAATGCCAATCAGTATGTGATGCAGTCAATAACAGTCAATAAGTATGTTATTTTTCAACTTCTTTTATCAGACCAAGCTGTCCAGCAAAAGTAGTAGTTGGAGAATAGAAACAAAGTATTTACCGCTGACAACGGTGCTTACAAATTAATTTATTCATTTTTAACAAAAAATGTTATTCTAAAAGGAAACTAGAACTAGATGGAATTTCCTTTTATCAGCCAGAATAACTACGTGACTATGAAACTGTTGTTGTAACTGCTTAAAGGAGAAGTTCACTTTTTGAACATACTACATGTTCCACCAGTATTTAGGTACAAACATGTCACATATTCCTGCTCCTGCCTCTGCTCCCGAGTCTCTGTGACCGTGGGTGGGGTATCTTCTCCCCGCACACACAGTCGCAATGTAGAAACAATCAGGTACGGCTCCGCACAACTCTGAATGAATTTATTTTTATTTATCGAGTTTATATAGCGCCAAAGGGTTTGCTCAGCGCTGTACAATAGAGGGGGGACAATACATGAAACAGAACAGTAACATCAAACAGTACACAAGGGGTAAGAGGGCCCTACTCTTTCGAGCTTACAATCTAGGATGAATGAACTATAGCTATTGTCAGCCTCCAAGGCCCACTGGTTGTAGTTCTAATGAATTGCGAGGGTGCTGGTGAGCATGCTCATAGTTCGTTGATTATTCCGGTCATTCAGTAACTGCCTGCCTGTACGAGGTATGGACAGACAACTGTACTGAGTGTCTGCAGGAGCCTGGAACTGCACCTGCGATCTCCTGATCGCAGATGCAAATCTTACAAGCTGCAATGAAAAAAAAAATTAATAATAAACACACATCTTTTTGCAGGTAAAAAAAAAAAATGTACATTTATTATTTTTTATATACAAGGTGTGCATAGCCTTTAGGAAATGTTAGCTGGAGTTTGGCTTTAGTTTGTTTTGTAAAGTCCATTTAAAGCAACGGTTCTCAACCTGTGGGTCGCGACCCCTTTGGGGGTCGAACAGCCATTTCACAGGGGTCACCTAAGACCATCGGAAAACACATATTTCCGATGGTCTTAGGAGCTGAGACACCGCTCCTCTATCCGTCTTCAGGCTATGTGTGGGCGGGATGACATGCTACCCCTGTCATCTGGCCACACCCCCGGGATCACTCAACAGCTCCGCCTCCTCAGTGGTGATTGGCCGCCAGAACTGTAGCTCAGGAGAGGCACACAGGCAGCCAATCACCAGCGAGGAGGTGGAGGTTGGAGAGGAGGAGCCGAGCGGCAGCACGAAGATCAAAGAAGATCGAGTGAGGGAGCTGCCGGAGCGAGTGAAGAGTAGAGCGGCCGTAGAAGGAAGACAGCTGACCAGTAAGTGTCTGTGCCGTGCAGATGGTGTTGCTGCAGCCAGGTATGCTGGCTGTAGATGGGAGAAGGAGGGAGCGAGCCCAGGCTGGAGCAGGGGTCAGCAAGGTAAGTATCATTGGTGTCAGTGGGAGGAATAGTGCCCCATCATTGGTGTCACTAATACCAAAGATGGGGCACTATTCCTCCCCCCACTGACACCAACGATGGGGCACTATTCCTCCCCCCACTGACACCAACGATAGGGCACTATTCCTCCCCCCACTGACACCAACGATGGGGCACTATTCCTCCCCCCACTGACACCAACGATAGGGCACTATTCCTCCCCCACTGACACCAACAATGGGGCACTATTCCCCCCACTGACACCAACGATGGGGCACTATTCCTCCCCCCACTGACACCAACAATGGGGCACTATTCCCCCCACTGACACCAACGATGGGGCACTATTTCCCCCCACTGACACCAACGATGGGGCACTATTCCCCCCACTGACACCAACGATAGGGCACTATTCCCCCCACTGACACCAACGATGGGGCACTATTCCTCCCCCCACTGACACCAACAATGGGGCACTATTCCCCCCACTGACACCAACGATGGGGCACTATTCCCCCCACTGACACCAACGATAGGGCACTATTCCCCCCACTGACACCAATGATGGGGCACTATTCCCCCCACTGACACCAACGATGGGGCACTATTCATCCCACTGACATCAGTGATGGGGCACTACTCCTCCCACTGACGCCAATGATGTGGCACTACTCCTCCCACGGACGCCAATGATGTGGCACTACTCCTCCCACTGCAAAATTACAGTTATGTAGTAGCAACAAAAATAATTTTATGGCTGGTGGTCACCACAACATGAGGAACTGTATTAAAGGGTCGCAGCATTAGGAAGGTTGAGAACCACTGATCTAAAGCTAGTCATATGGTGTATAATTGAATCCCCCACGCTGGGACTGATTGACTGCAGCCTCTGTCCAGCTGTCACAATACCTGAACATTATTAGCTGGAGTTTGGCTTTAGTTTGTTAGTTGCTTATATAAAAAGTCCATCTAAAGCTGTTAGATTTTTTTCATTCTACCGTGTTTGGCAGATTCCTCATACAAGGTGGATGGAGATCCTCTACACTGGGACTGATTGGCTGCAGCCATTGTCCAGCTGTCAAAATACCTGAACAGTGCCTGCATCTTTTTGGATGTAGGCACTGTTAAGCCAACAATCTTCAGACAGGCGCCTTTCACGAAAAGGAGTAGAATGGAGCAGTACCAGAGGAGTCATCTGCTGCTTGACTAGGTTTCCTAACATTCTGGAATATGTTCTTGTGGTAACTAGTACTGTTGACTACTATTGACTATTGAAACACTGTCACCTTGTTCATGATTGTGAAGTGAAATTGCAAGACTTGGTTTCAGCCTCTGCCCAGTTGTCTGTTGTTAAACTGCATAAACCTGGCCACTGTCCTCATCTCCACAGTATGGGGACTAATTGTTTTGTAGTGCTAGCTAAGGACTGGTAGGAGTCATTAGACCCCATGGGATAACACACAGGGCAGATCTGAAATTTTGATGTAATCAATAGGTATTTTTGTGCAAATAAAAAACAGAACAAAATACTTTGACAGACCAATAGGGAGCACATAATAGAAGTTCATTGTTGAGGTTTACGTGCACTTTAACTCTGCTACCAAAGGCCTACAGAAATGTGAACTTTCCCCAATCAGACAATAAACAGCAGAATTGGGCCAACCTCCTGAGATATCTGTAGGCACTTTTAGACACTTACCACTAGCTTTAGGTTGAAACATATCAGGGGTAAACAGCTTTGAAGACCACTCTGGGAATACCCATACATGAAAGACAGACTGATAACATTCACAGCAAAGTTTTCATTCTCCTATCAGAACTGAAGCTATTTGAGATCATGGGGGAAGATAGTGTTCCTTTGCAATGCAAATTTCCTCTTGGTAATCCTATGAAGGGCCCAGCAGGGAATCTTTATTTTGTGTATACCAATGTTACCAACACAAAAATGGACAGCCTAGAAGACATCAGAGGAAAAGAAAAAGCAGCAGCCCAGAGTGAGCTGTTAGCTTTCATTCTTGATCTGAACTAGACAAATATAATTTATAACAATGGTTGCAATGGGCAATGTAAGAGTTTCTGAGATTAATTAAAAAAGAAAAAGAAAAAAGAAAGAAAATATATATATACACACACACTATATCGCCAAAAGTATTGGGACGCCGCTCCAAATCATTGGATTCATGAGTTCCAATCACCTCCATGGCCACAGGTGTATAAAATCATCACCTAGGCATGCAGACTGCTTCTACAAACATTTGTGAAAGAATGGGTCGCTCTCAGGAGCTCAGTGAATTCAAGCGTGGTACCGTGATAGGTTGCCACCTGTGCAATAAGTCCATCCGTGACATTTGCTACGAAGTGGTAGACCACGTAAAATGACAGAACGGGGTCAGCACATGCTGAAGCACACAGGGCGCAGAAGTCACCAACTGTCTACAGAATCAGTAGCTAAAGACCTCCAAACTTCATGTGGCCTTCAGATTAGAACAACAACAGTGCATAGAGAGCTTCATCAGCAAGTTTGGGGTGGAGGAACTTGACTGGCCTGCAAAGAGTCCTGACTTCAACTCGATAGAACACTTTTGGGATTGATTAGATCGGAAACTGAGAGCCAGGCCTTCTCTTCCAACATCAGTGCCTGACCTCACAAATAAACATTCCCATAGACACCCTCCTAAACCTTGTGGACAGCCTTCCCAGAAGAGTTGAAGCTGTTATAGCTGCAAAGGGTGGGCCAACTCAATATTGAACCCAACGGACTAAGACTGGGATGCCATTAAAGTTCACGTGTGTGTAAAGACAGGCGTCCCAATACTTCTGGCAATATAAGGTGTGTATATATACACACACACACTATATTGCCTATAGTAACCACTTAAATACAACTGATATTCAGGAGTGGGTTTACTAAACAAAGACCCCATTATCTCCTCATAACAATACAGACACTTGCACAGATGAGAAAATATGTGAAAATACCACCGCACTACTACTGTGATACTGAAACAACACATATAAAAAAAATTGCCAAAATATGTAATGGGCTTGCTGCTAATCACTGAAATGTGTTCGCACACCCAACACCACCAAATAACCAAAAGGCATAGTGCTGCCCCCTTATAAAACTAACATATGTCAATAGTGGTGGAAACCCCCTATGTAACTGAATCACCAGAAAGCTGTATCCAACTTATACTGTGGAAACCTGAATACCTGGTATAAAACTCAAACAAAATAACGAAGTGTACTACAAATGTGATATAGAACACATGAAAAAATAAATATATTGTGCATAAAAAAAAGAATCACAATAAAACTGCAAATTGCCCTATGTGCAATATCAAATAAACGTGGCGCCTGTGATACCAAACAGCACTGCAAAACAAATTCATATATATAAAAGTGCTGTTTGGTATCACATGTGCTAAGTTTATTTGATATTGAAAATGGGGCATTTTGCAGTTTTATGGTGTTCCAGTGAGGATAGAAAATGTTCTGGCCCCAGCATCAGTGAGAATAAACATGGCCTCAGGGTTGATGGTCAGTAGGAGTGGTGCCCCATCATTGTTATTAGTGGAAAGAATAGTACACCACCATTGGTTTCAGTGGAAGATGTACTGCTCCATTGTTGGTCTCAGTGGGAGGAATAGTGCCCCAAAGGCCGGATAAACGGTAGCAAAGGGCCATATCCGGCCCTCGGGCCGCAGTTTGGAGACCCCTGATGTAGGGGGTTTCCACCACTATTCACATTGGTTCGTTTTTTTTTTTATGGGGCCGTGCTATACTTTTTGGCTATTCACTTGCACAGATGAGTATCACTCACGGTACTATATCTATGGGGCAGTGTTGTCACCATAGTGGTGGCATATAGTTTACAGAGGTGAACTGGGCATTAAAACTGCAAGGGGTACAGGGCATGAAAGGATCAATATGGATTTTTTGCACTTATTTAATAGATACACCAAAATGGTTTCAATTGTATATTTAACAGACAAAAAGGGTACAAATAAAGGAAGTTCAATGTTAGGGTTTATCTGAGAGAACCACAAAACATGCCATCACTTGGAAACTTTTCACAGCCCTTACAGAAAACAATAACATCTATACTTTGTCTACAGCAATCACATTCTTCCTTTTCATTTTGTAAGCTGCACTAGAAGACTGTCAGCTGGATTCTGATTGGCTGCCATGGGAGACGCAGAAAGTCTTCATTCACAACCTGCTTTCATTGTCTGTGGGTTGGAGTGTAGAATGACAATGCAGTCTGGCTAAAAGAATGCCTGTAGGTAACTTTATACACAGACGTCCACACAGAGTTAATTATCGTAGTCAAATGGGCACTGAATTAAAAGAGCTGATTTATTGGGGGGAGGTGCTGAGAACTGTGCCTAATAACACAGACAGCCCCTTTAAGATAAATTATAGACTCAGGTCAGATGAGGCTGACCCCTGGGCCTAATTAACTCACCAGTTTAGAAGGTCAACTAGAGTACACCATCCCTGGGAAGTGTTGCATTTTGTACCACCCAGAGAGCATACCCACAGTATGGGCTTGTTCACACCACAACGCACGCATGTGTTAACGTACTGTGATAAAACCCGAGGGCCCATTCAGTCGCTGCATGTTTTGCAGTATGTTTTTGTACGCTGTGGTGTTGAGAAGTCTGTGCAATGTGGTGCATTACAACATATGTGAAGGGTTTGTGCGCTGTGTGGCTAGAACAATCTGTGTGCTGTGGTGCATTACAACATATGTGAACAGTTTGTGCGCGCTGTGGTGTAGAACAGTATGTGCGTTGTGGCGTGAACAATCTGTGTGCTGTGGTGCATTACAACATATGTGAAGGGTTTGCGCACTGTGGTGATGAACAATCTGTGCGCTGTGGTGCATTACAACATATGTGAAGGGTTTGTGCGCTGTGGTATAGAACAATATGTGCGTGTGTGGGCATTGAACAATCTGTGCGCTGTGGTACATTACAACATATGTGAAGGGTTTGCGCACTGTGGTGCTGAACAATCTGTGTGCTGTGGTGCATTACAACATATGTGAAGGGGTTTGCGCACTGTGGTGTAGAACAATGTGCGTTGTGGCATTGAACAATCTGTGCGCTGTGGTGCATTACAACATATGTGAAGGGTTTGTGCGCTGTGGTATAGAACAATATGTGCTTTGTGGCATTGAACAATCTGTGCGCTGTGGTACATTACAACATATGTGAAGGGTTTGCGCACTGTGGTGCTGAACAATCTGTGTGCTGTGGTGCATTACAAACATATGTGAAGGGTTTTGCGCACTGTGGTGTAGAACAATGTGCGTTGTGGCGTTGAACAATCTGTGCGCTGTGGTGCATTACAACATATGTGAAGGGTTTGCGCACTGTGGTGCTGAACAATCTGTGCGCTGTGGTGCATTACAACATATGCGAAGGGTTTGTGCGCTGTGTAGAACAATGTGCGTTGTGGTGTTGAACAATCTGTGCGCTGTGGTGCATTACAACATATGTGAAGGGTTTTGCGCACTGTGGTGCTGAATACGTGCGCTACAACAGATGTGAACGACTTGTGCGCCATAGCTCAGTAAACTGTGCGCTGAAACAAATGTGTGATATTAAGACACATTCAGAGAGGGGTCTTTATATGTAAAGTCTATGTAAACCCTCATGATGGGCCCGTTGTTCCATTTTGCTCTGGTAAAAATTCAGTTGACTGTATTTTAGTTTATCTATTGGATAAGTTAAAAAAAAAACTAAACAAAACTGTTGATCCTGACAGAAATCTAGTGAGCCGAGAACTTCCATTGCTGTACTTTTTAATAATGTTCCGAGGACCATGTTGGGCGGCTAATCCAGCACTCTTCCACCGCAAGACAAACCAAAATGCTTTGTCTCCCACCTGGCCGGTGCACACAACAATGCAATGGTATGCGCTGGAAAAAACGGCAACAGTACTAGAAGTAACCAGTGGGGATCATGTACTAGAAGTATACCAGTGGGGATCATGTACTAGAAGTATACCAGTGGGGATCGTGTACTAGAAGTATACCAGTGGGGATCGTGTACTAGAAGTATACCAGTGGGGATCGTGTACTAGAAGTATACCAGTGGGGATCGTGTACTAGAAGTATACCAGTGGGGATCGTGTACTAGAAGTATACCAGTGGGGATCGTGTACTAGAAGTATACCAGTGGGGATCGTGTACTAGAAGTATACCAGTGGGGATCGTATGTACTAGAAGTATACCAGTGGGGATCATGTACTAGAAGTATACCAGTGGGGATCATGTACTAGAAGTAGAACATTGGTGGGTACTAGAAGTATACCAGTGGGGATCATGTACTAGAAGTAGAACAGTGGGGATCATGTACTAGAAGTATACCAGTGGGGATCATGTACTAGAAGTAGAACATTGGGGATCATGTACTAGAAGTATACCAGTGGGGATCATGTACTAGAAGTAGAACATTGGGGATTATGTACTAGCAATAGAACTTTGGGGATCATGTACTAGAACTATAATATTGAGGATCATGTACGAGAAGTATAACGTTGAGGATAATGTACTAGGAGTTGAAATCAGAGATTATGTATGAGAATTATAACGCTGGGGGTCATATACTATAAGATCATGTCCTAGAAGTAGAACATTGGGGATCGTGTCCTAGAAGTAGAACATTGGGGATCGTGTCCTAGAAGTAGAACATTGGGGATCGTGTCCTAGAAGTAGAACATCTGTGATATATGGTAATCCTTGGGGATGATATACTGAACATCTAGCAATGGTGATGATGTACTGAACGTATATCTTTGGGGATGATTGACTAACTCTATGACATGGGGGGGGGGGGGGGGGGGGGGGGGGGTTGATGTAATAAACATAAAAGACTGAAGATGATACACTAAACATATCAGGTTGTTGATGATGTTATATATATATATTATATATATATATATATATATATATATATATATAATATAAAGGACATTGTGGGGGGGTTATTAAAGATATCAGATTGTTGATGATGTCCTACACATATGACATTGAGGGTGGTTATTAAACATATCAGGTTGTTGAAGTCCTATACATATGACATTGGGGGGGGGGGGGGGGTGTTTAATAAGCACATGAGATTGTTGATGTTTTATACATATGACATGGGGGGGGTTATTAAACATATGAGATTGTTGATGTCCTATACATATGACATAGGGGGGGTTACTAAACATATGAGATTGTTGATGTTCTATACATATGACATGGGGGGGGTTATTAAACATATGAGATTGTTGATGTCCTATACATAGGACATGGGGGGGGGGGTTATTAAACATATGAGATTGTTGATGTCCTATACATATGACATGGGGGGGGGTTATTAAACATATGAGATTGTTGATGTCCTATACATATGACATGGGGGGGGGGTTACTAAACATATGAGATTGTTGATGTTCTATACATATGACATGGGGGGGTTATTAAACATATGAGATTGTTGATGTCCTATACATATGACATGGGGGGGGGGTTATTAAACATATGAGATTGTTGATGATGTCCTATACATATGACATTGGGGGGGGGTTATTAAACATACGAGATTGTTGATGAAGTCCTATACATATGACATTGGGGGGGTTATTAAACATACGAGATTGTTGATGAAGTCCTATACATATGACATTGGGGGGGGGTTATTAAACATACGAGATTGTTGATGAAGTCCTATACATATGACATTGGGGGGGTTTATTAAACATACGAGATTGTTGATTAAGTCCTATACATATGACATGGGGGGGGTTATTAAAAATATCAGATTGTTGATATCCTATACATATGACATGGGGGGGCGGGGGGGTTATTAACCATATCAGATTGTTGATGATGTCCTATATATATATATATATATGACATTGGGGGGGGTTATTAAACAGATCAGATTGTTGATGATGTCCTATACATATGACATTGGGGGGGTTATTAAACATACAAGATTGTTGATGATGTCCTATATATATGACATGGAGGGGGGGTTACTAAACATATGAGAGAGATTGATGATGTACTACATGTAGAGTAGTGGGGATGGACGAAGTAGAAATAATGTACAATCCGGAGGAAGGGGGACCTTAGTCAAACACTGAGGAGGCTGACGATGGGGAAAATTTCGGAGGGGGGGTCCTGACCGTAAACTATAGCGTATCCAGCCCTCCCTGTGTAGAATGCACCGCCTGTGCCCCCGGTGAGCGCCCCCCTCCCCAGTCAGTCCCGGTGATGTGGCAGGGAGGATCTCCTCCGTCCCCGATCGCAGGATGAAGTTGGAGAAAGTTTTGGAAGGTCGGTGCCGTGTGTCAGCCTATCAGAGGGCAGCGCTGAGGATACAATGGACGAGCTCTCTTACCTCATCCTTCCGGACGGTGCGGCCCGGGGGCCGGCCTCTGATTGGATCGGCCGTCCCGGCTCGGTGAGGAGTCTCCGGTAGTTGGAGGAGGCGGCAGGAAACGGAAACTCCGGAGAGGGGGAGAGCCTGAGTCAGTGCAGGCAGGGCGAGACTCGGCGGTGGAGGAGGCTGGAGATGAACGGGGGTGGGCTTACAGGGGGGAGGAGGGGGCAGCCAAAGGTAGAGCGCTCATCCATCCCACACAGGGCGACGGGCGGCTCCACCCAGACCGGGTGGAGAATAGCGCCGTGCGGGGATCACGTGGGAATGGTCCGGTCATGTCATACAGACACACCGAGCTCAGTGTAACTGCAGAACAAACTTTATTTCTTCGTGTTCAGTAGAATGAGAGGGCGAGGAGCCCTGCCAGGTGTTTACTGTTGTCCTTGGCTCCCATAGAGTGACAATGGTACAGGGCCTCATACATGCACACGCCGGTGCTGAGGCGGGCGGTTCCTGGTACCCTGGGAGCCACACGTCTATAGAACCGTAAATTCTCCAATCTCAGGTAGATGCTGATGGCTTCTGTATCAGTGATAACCCACAAACAGGTGCCGTGCTTCTCTCTGAACACACAAATGGCGCCCTACGCACATACGTGGATGAACGCACATGCAGGAGCCGGACGTGTACTTGGGGATGGCCACACACATCCATTCACTTGTATTGGCGGCTGTACTCGGCACACGCAGCTCACAGGGAAGGCTTTTCGGACTCGTCCTGGTTGGGAATAGAGGAGCTCCTGTGTGCCACCACCTTTCTGGAGTTTGCATGTTCTCCCTGTGCCTGTGTGGGGTTCTTCCCAAAGATACCCAAAGACCAGCTGATAGGTTCATTGGCTCCCTGTCAAAATTGGGCCTAGTATGTGTATGTATGAATGTGAGTTAGGGACCTTAGATCTGTGTTTCTCAACCTTGTTTTAGTCAAAGCACCCTTTAAAATTATGGACAAGTCAAGGCATCCTCTAACATTATGAACAGACCTAAGGCACCCTTTACAATTATAGACAGTCCCGAGGCACCCTTTACAATTATAGACAGTCCCGAGGCACCCTTTACAATTATGGACAGTCCCGAGGCACCCTTTACAATTATAGACAGTCCCGAGGCACCCTTTACAATTATAGACAGTCCCGAGGCACCCTTTACAATTATGGACAGTCCCGAGGCACCCTTTACAATTATGGACAGTCCCGAGGCACCCTTTACAATGATGGACAGTCCCGAGGCACCCTTTAAAGTTATGGACAGTCCCGAGGCACCCTTTAAAGTTATGGACAGTCCCGAGGCACCCTTTAAAGTTATGGACAGTCCTGAGGCATCCTTTAAAGTTATGGACAGTCCTGAGGCATCCTTTTCAATTATGGACAGTCCTGAGGCACCCTTTACAATAACAGACAGTCCCGAGGCACCCTTTACAATTACAGACAGTCCCGAGGCACCCTTTACAATTACAGACAGTCCCGAGGCACCCTTTACAATTACAGACAGTCCCGAGGCACCCTTTACAATTACAGACAGTCCCGAGGCACCCTTTACAATTACAGACAGTCCCGAGACAGTCTTTACAATTACAGACAGTCCCGAGGCAGTCTTTACAATTACAGACAGTCCCGAGGCACCCTTTACAATTACGGACAGTCCTGAGGCACCCTTTACAATAAAGACAGTCCCGAGGCAGTCCTTTACAATTACAGACAGTCCCGAGGCAGTCTTTACAATTACAGACAGTCCCGAGGCAGTCTTTACAATTACGGACAGTCCCGAGGCAGTCTTTACAATTACGGACAGTCCCGAGGCACCCTTTACAATTACGGACAGTCCGAGGCAGTCTTTACAATTATGGACAGTCCCGAGGCAGTCTTTACAATTATGGACAGTCCCGAGGCACCCTTTACAATTATGGACAGTCCCGAGGCAGTCTTTACAATTATGGACAGTCCCGAGGCACCCGTTACAATTATGGACAGTCCCGAGGCAGTCTTTACAATTATGGACAGTCCCGAGGCAGTCTTTACAATTACAGACAGTCCCGAGGCAGTCTTTACAATTACAGACAGTCCCGAGGCAGTCTTTACAATTACGGACAGTCCCGAGGCACCCTTTACAATTACGGACAGTCCCGAGGCAGTCTTTACAATTATGGACAGTCCCGAGGCACCCGTTACAATTATGGACAGTCCCGAGGCACCCGTTACAATTATGGACAGTCCCGAGGCACCCTTTAAAGTTATGGACAGTCCTGAGGCAAATACGCTTTTGCACACTGGTACTGACTAGTATTCCAATGTTTCTTTTCTCCCTCAGTTTTTCTCCATGATTGTGCTGATGTGACCCCAGCACTGATGGAGAGGGGCAGGGGAGGGTAAAACTAGGATGCCGTGCAGGCTACCGACAACTTCCCTATCAACTGTCAGGATGCTGGAGGCTAGAAAGCTGTAAATGGCGCACAATGAAAACGTATGGCTTTGTGTAACTAAAGGGCAGGCTTGTTCCACCTGCTGGCTTGTATACAAGTTTTGGGCAATTTTTATGAATTTTGCCAAGGCACCCCTGAAGAAACCTCAAGGCACCCTAAGGTGCCTGTGCACCCTGGTTGAAAAAGGCTTCCTTAGATTGTAGGCTCTTTGAGGGCTGAATGTACAATATACACTAACCGGCCTCTTTATTAGGTACACCTTGCTAGTACCAGGCTGGACCCCCTTTTGCTTTTAAAACTGCATAATTCTTTGTGGCATAGATTCAGCAAGGTGTTGGAAACATTCCTCAGAGAGTCCTCTCGAACCCATTGTCCTCTGACATCAACAAGGCATTTTCATCCACACAACTGCCGCTCACTGGATATTTTCTGCTTTTCGGAACCATTCTCTCTAAACCCTAGCACAGTGGCTAAATGGTTAGCACTTCCACCTGGCAGTATTAGGGTCGTTGGTTCGAAACTCCTACCTGGAGTTTGCATGTTCTCCCTGTGCCTGCGTGGGTTTCCTCCGGATACTCCGGTTTCCTCCTACACTCCAAAGACATGCTGGTAGGTTAATTGGATCCTGTCTAAATTGGCCCTAGTATATGAATGTGAGTTAGGGACCTTAGATTGTACGCCCCTTGAGGGTTAGGGACTGATGTGAATGTACAATATATATGTAAAGCTCTGCGTAAATTGACGGCGCTATATAAGTACCTGAAATAAACCCTAGACCAGCCCATCTGGCACCAACAACCATGCCATGTTCATAGTCACTTAAATCCCCTCCATTCTGATGCTCAGTTTGAACTTCAAGTTGTCTTCACCATGTCTAGATGCCTAAATGCATTGAGTTGCTGCCATGTGATTGGCTGATTAGCAATTTATGTTACCAAGCAATTGAACAGGTGTACCTAATAAAGTAGCTGGTGAGTGTATGTGCGTAAATTGACAGTGCTATATGAGTACCTGAGTAATATGAGTACCTGTAATAAATAAATACTGGACGTTAAGAGAGTCTTTACTGACATTTATATTGGCAGTATCCAGGAACCTGTCAAAGTCAATATATACCTAAAGCTGGCCATAGATGACTAGAAAACCGAACGTTCAGTCAACCAAAAAACAAAAATAGTTCATACGATTGTGCTATCATTTGTTTCTTTTTTTTTTTAAACCCAGCATGTTCAGTTTTTGACTAATCTGTGGCTGGCTTGAAAGCATAACTAAACGCTTTTCATTTTGGATAGAGTAAGGGAGGGTTATAACGCCTGTAAGGCTTATTTTTGCCATCTGTGTCCCATTGGGGAGAGTTCCCTTCACTTTCTGGCCCATAGCCAAAACAGGAAGTGGGAGGAAATTTCTCTAAACTGAAGGAATCCCTGGCTGTCACCAGAACTAGTGTCCCCACTAATCCTGTTCTGGGGACAATTCAGAGTTTTGGATTTTCTATTATTTTCACTTATGGTGAACAAGTAGGGTAAATCTCCCTGAATATACTATATATAAAATAATAAAGTGAGAGGGTAATAATTAGGGCTGCACAGATGCTGGGTATCGGTGCCAATACTAAGCCTTTGCATGAAGCAAATTCTTCAATACCGGAAACCAATACCTTTGTGGTGCGATTTAAGCTCATACAAAATGAATGAGCTCAGACTGCACCAGGGGCGGACTGACAACTCATGGGGCCCCCGGGCAATAGGGGATCATGGGGCCCCTGTGTCCTTGCCCAAACTCAAAAAAGCCTATGAAAAAGGTACCAGGGGCATTTCATGGGGCCCCCTACTGACCTCGGGCAGTGCCCAAGTTTCCAAATGGTCAGTCCGCCCCTGGACTGCACTGAAAAAAATCGCATACAATTTGAACAGGAATGCAGTGTGATTGCTGTCCGAATCGTGTGTGGCTTCCCTACAAAAGCAATGGCTCAAATCGCACCGCGCCCGCAGGGAAACCATGTGATTCAGACAAGAATTGCACCTCATTCCTGTTCAAATCACTTGTGAATCTTTGCAGTGCATTTTTTTTTTTTTTTTTTACTGCAACAAACAGATTGTTCGCATATGTGCCTTGTGGTGCATTACAGTATTATGTCAGTGCTTTGGGCGTGCTGTTTAAAATGAACAGAACTGCACTGTGGTACTTGCATTGATGTGCATTTGTGCTACTGCACACCAAAATGTGTGTTTTACTTAAGTGTACACTCCAATGTGAACCAGCCCTTGTTTTAAAAAATAGCCATTTTAGGCCAAGTTTTTTCCGCCAATGTGATTTGAAAATTACAGTCACTGCCTAAAATAAAGATCCTTATTCTACTGAATTTTATTTATTACAGGTATTTATATATCACCAACAATTTATCCAATTGCTGACCAGCCACAATACATAGACTTAGGCTGGGCGGCACCTGCAGGCTAAATCTTGTACATGTACATCATTTTGTCTGCGCCATCAGACACAGCAGATTGTGGATCCCGGTACTCTGGGCCCGGTGATTCTGTGATCACAGTGTCAACAAAGCTGTTATGAATGAATTAACCACTTACCCTCCTAAGGATTTACCCCTCCCCCGTCCTGACCAGGCCATTTTTTTTCGTTGCAGCGCTGCGTTACTTTAACTGACAATTGCGCAGTCATGTAATGCTGCACCCAAATGAAATTTACATTCTTTTTTTCCCCACAAATTGAGATTTCTTTTGGTGGTATTTGATTGCCTATGCGTTTTTTAATTTTTTTGTGCTAGAAAAAAAAAAAGACTGATACTTTTGAGAGAAAAACAATATTTTGGACTTTTTGCTATTAAACATGTCCAGTAAAAAAATGTAAGAAATAAAATTTTGTCATAAATTTATGCCAAAATGTATTCTACGACATGTCTTTGCTAAAAAAAAAACCCAAATACGTGTAAATTAATTGGTTTACGTGAAGGTTATAGCATTTACAAATGGCGGTATAGATACTGGGATTTATTTTTTTTTCTACTAGTAATGGCGGTGATCAGCGACCTTTAGTGGGACTGAAGCAGACATTCTAGCACTGGGGGGGAACTAACTTGGTGTCACTGACATCTCCAGTGACACCAATAAAGTGATCAGTGCTAAAAAAAAAAAAAAAGCACTGACACTGTACTAATGGCACTGGGCAAAAAGGGGTTAATATGAGGGGCGATCAAAGGGTTAACTATGTGTAGGGAGTGTTTTGCTAGGGGGTGGGGGGTGTGTGCACTTCACTGTAAGCACATTGCTCTGGATGGCTGTGCACAGTCATCTAGGGCAGTGTGCCCGAGGCAACAGGGAGGAAGACTGTCTGGAGATGCTCGGTAACACCGGGCACTGGCGGGTAATTGCCGGCCAGGACCCGGTGATTGACAGCCGTGGCACGGGTAGGGTGCGCGCACAGCTCACGTGTGCCCCTACCCGGAACTGCGAAATCACGTATATATACACGTGATTGTGCACACCCGTGTTGCCCTGTAGCAGTATATCTGCTATGGGGCAGTGGGGAAGCGGTTAATTATAACAGTTGTGTTTCCTAGGCTGTGATTGGCCAACAGCCATCACATGGTATTTGCGCCAATCACAGCACCCTGTACCATGTGATTAGCTGTAGCCAATCACAGATCACTAGCAATCACAGCTGGCATGAATGCAATTTATGACAGTAGAAAACGCTGTTACAATGATCTTTATTGTAACCACAAACAAACTGGTAAAAAAAAATCCCTGATCACTCCTTCAGAGTAGTACAGTGTTGCTATGGAGACACTGAACTACTCTGATGAAAGTATGTAAAAAAAAAAACCTAGCAATAAATGTACAAAAAAGTAAAAAAAAATAATGAAAAGAACGTTGTAAAAAATTGACTAAAAATGTTTTTATTTTTTGTTTTTAAACATACCCGTCAGTGTCCCTGATCACCACCACACCAATCATATGATGACATTGTATTGCACTGGTGACAGTATGTTTAAAAAAAAACAAATTTTCAAAATAAAATTGTGACAAAAAATTGTAACTTCAAAAAACTCACCA